CTCACTAGGCTTCTCCAGACTTTCTCAACCTCCGGTGACCCCGACGCCTGCTCCTCCAGGTTTTGGGAGTTCATTGGTGATTCCTGTGGCGGATGTACGCTCAAGCTGGGCGTAGGAGGCTCGAGCTGTGCAAACGATGGTGATTTTTATCTCCATCATTCACCTAGTGTCGAAAATGATTCACACTCGAATCCAACTCAATCTCGTTCCTTTCGAAATTATCACCAACGAAAATTTGACCTCTTCTTTTGTACTTACGTTCTTCTCATGTATATTATCAGCACATTGCGACTTGCCCTCATAATTATCATAAGATGCAACACTATATCCTAAACCTCCATATCGATCATTACGCCGAAAGTAACACCCACTAAATGAAGCTGCAACAGACATGCATGTTATTCCAAATGATGAGACCCCAAAGTACTTGTCACGAGGAGCAGCACCTTTATCACTCACCTCTTGTACCATGTCCTTGTCATTAAATCCCACATCATTTCCACTAGGTTCTACATACTCGAAACTTATAAGGGAATATATCTGGAAAGTGTGTTCCAACGTCGTGAAGAGCAAGTTCAGATCCATTTGCCACCTCATACTCTACATAAGAAATTGGTGGACCCTCATACTCGAATGACCCCTCGTCGTCGAAACGAAGTTGTCCTTCATACTCGGTCGACCCTTGAGCGTCCACAAAGTCCCCTAAAATTTTAGGGATCTCGACTCGAAAAGCGATCTCCCAGCGTGAGTCTCGATTTTGTTGCCTCGCGCCCCAGCTCGCGACGACAATGGACGACGTCATTCGCGGCCACCCGTCGCATGTCATGAAAACCGTAGACGGTGAAGCCCTCGGCTCCTCTCCTCGTCGTGCAGTGGTGGTGGTGAACGTCGGCGCCTGTCTATGCCATATTCTTCACACCCACCGCGGAGTTCCCCGTGCCTGCCTGGTCGCCGACGTTGCGGTTCGTCTGCTCACCACCCTCAATAATGGTACGGAGAGCCAATCGAATGTCCACGATCCCCGCGGACAGATCCAAAATCTGACGACCCATCGTCTCGAACTGGTGGCCAAACCCTCGTACTGCCAGCTCAGGTTGTCGATGGAGGTGTCACGCATGTCATCTGCAACATCTTGTCTACGTGGCGGCATCGTTGATCGTGGCTGGTCACTGATACCAACTGATGTAGCACAACGTACGATTAACAATAAAGAGAAAGAGATATATCTCTCAAATACGTAAATTTATATGTAACTTCAACTACCTCAAAACAAAGGATAAATGTCTTTGAATAAGACTCCTAAAAAATCTAGATTCCTATCTTGTCTAATTTGACAAGAAATTTGAATAATAATAATAAAATAAATAAATTTTCTTGTCTAGAATACCACTAATAATCATAATAGCACATAGGAAAACAAATAATTAATTTAGAAACTATAAAGATTCTTATCTCCAACAATTTACCTAAAAATTGTCCAAAAGTGTACAAAATTATTTTGAACACATCACAAGAAATAAATACTACAAATTATTCATTCAAATTTATGTCAACCAGAAAATGACTGTTTTTTAATTCCCATTTTAGTTTGTATTTTAAAACTAAAAAAAAAATCTCAAATTTATTCAATAGTTTCCGGGTCTAATTATTCTAATTTCTACCAAACCCATGACATCAAAAAGCTACACAATTTATGCTTTTGAAAGTTATGATTCAAGATAATAAATCAAACTTTTTCAGGTATACCTAATATTTTTCAACTTCTTAGAATGGAAGAAAAAAGGCCCAAGTTGGCGAAAATTAAGATATTTTAATGTGGGACGCATATGTCAAGTGGGCATAATATAGAGAGGTGACATATAATAGATTGTACTATTATCAAATTAATAAAGGAAAAAGTACAAATATGTCTTATTTATAGGGCCCAAAAAAATATTATTTCTATGCTGCAAAGATTAGTTTGGACTTCATCACGTGACCCAATCAATCCCCATAACCATAGGCTTGAGCAAAATAATATTAATTCAAAATGTGCTGAGTTGCGTGTCAAGACTTGTACGTTTCCGAATCTTGCATATGTCTATATCATAGTTTGGATTTAGGTTTGGATAAAAAATTTGGAAACATAATTGGCTTGAAAAGTGACATTAATAACTTTCACAACATACATTATTGTCTCTTATCAATCTCTATTTTATTACGAAATTTGTCTTGAATTTAAAATCACACTAATCTTTTATTCCCTTATTTGTTTTTACTAAATTATCCCATTCATCACATTTTTATTTTTGTTTATTAAGTTGATAAATTTTAGCTCATTTTTTAGTCTGTATCTTTTTTTGCGTAATGAATAATGATGAACTAAAATTGGCAAAATTTCAAAATTGGTCCTATAACTTGGCCACTGTCCAAAAAATCACCATTATATTGACCACTTTCAATTTAGGTCCTATAATTTGTCGATTTCATCAATTTTGGCCCTTTTTATCCAGACCCTGGATTAAAAAGTGACGTGGCATGACGTGTCAGTTTTTTAAGGTTACATGGCGTGATTATGATCTACGTGGCACGTCAATTTTGGTCCTATAATTTGTCGATTTCATCAATTTTGGTCTTTTTTTCATGCCACGTCACTTTTTAATCCAGGGTACGGATAAAAAAGGACCAAAATTGATGAAATCGACAAATTATAGGATCTAAATTGAAAGTGGTCAACATAGGGGTGGTTTTTTGGACAGTGGCCAAATTATAGGATCAATTTTAAATTTTTACCAACTAAAATTATATATTATAATTGGGTTATTCTCCATTGCCCACCTCCATTACAACTTGGTTTACAACTAAAGTGTAATGGAGGCATTAAAAAATATTTTTGAATGCCTCCATTACACTTGTTTGTAAACCAAGTTGTAATGGAGGTTGGCTAAGTATCATAATTCATTATAATCCTCCCTATATATAATTCCAGAATGCGCTGAGCCTACGTGGCTGCTTCTGGTGCTTCGGAATCCTATTTGGCGAAGAATCATGCTTCGTAATTAGGTTTGGACAAATAATATTAATATATTAATAATTAATAATCTAGGTTCGGGTATTTCATAAATATTATTTAGCTAACTTAAGTATTTTAATATCACTTTTACTAATATAACCCTTTATTATTTGTATTTTTACATAGTGAGACACTAAGTGACTAATATATCCCTAAATTTTATTTTGCTTCCCTCAATAAGCTATTGAATTATAAATGTATTTTAAAAGTAGATAACTTTTGTATTTCTTATCGGTTTTACATATATAATATATATCAAATTAATCATCTTTTGATGATCTTCAATTTGACATCCATATTGTATATATAAAATAAATAAATTATATTTATCTTTATAATAATACAAAATAATAATATTTATTAAAATTCATTAGAAAAATAAAATTATTTCTCAATTGATATATTTATATTTAATGTAGTTATATAGTGTAAGTTAAAAAATTAGTATAATATAACACAAATAAGTCGCACAAATAAAAAGTATCATAATAAATATAAGATGCTTTCTATATCCTTGGGCTCGGGAAAAGACTATTCAAACATTAATCTTCATTCCGGGATGGGGAATCTCTTATTATGCTTCTAACCCACCGGACCAAGAATGAAGTTATCACGAAAAGGAACTGAGTAACCCGAACCGCTTGACTGACCCCTTCATAGTCCATTCGGTTGGGGATGAATGAAACCAATCAGAAGTAAGTTTGAGAATATGGGCCGACGATTTGCACATTGAAATTCCAATCGAGCTACTTTCCTTTTAGTAGATCGAACGAAGTTTATGACATAAGAAATGGACTCACCTCTCCGATTCGCTTCTAGGTCTCGTTAGAGAGATCAGAGGATGTGAATTGGCTACGGCTTTTCTGGATATCATATATTCTTATAAAATATATTTAAATTTTCAAACTACTTTTTCTCATTAATTTTAAATTTTAAAAAAAAAAATTAGCAAGCACCCGTGTAATACACGGGTGTTGTACTAGTTATATTTATTGATAATATAATTAATGATATCTTAACTAAACACGTTCCTTACCTAAATTTTCATCAATTTGATATTTTATCTTAATTATCATTCTTTATCTTATTTTTTTAAGTTAATAAATTTTAGCCCATTCATCATAATTTTTTTTTCCAAGTTGATGAATTTTGAGTAGAACAAATAATGTTGCATACAATGAATTTTTTAAAATTTGAAATAAAATACCAATGTATAATTATTTTTGTTTTATGAAACTTTCATTTATTTCATATATAATTACAATAACTAATTCTTTTATTTATTTTTTCAAATTATTTTTTCATGTGCACCCATTAAGTACACATGTTTTGTACACATGTTTTACTTTTTTTTTTTCAAATTAATTATTCATGCACTCATGTAGTACACGAATATCGTACTAGTTATTGATTATTTAAAAGCTAAATGAGTTTATTTAATAGTAAACTGTTCCATAAAATGAAACTATATATTTGGGAAAATGCTACAATCTCGTCACGGAATAATTCCGTGAGTGTGTTGTTCGTGATAAACTTTCATATCTTGAATACTTACATATTGATCATAATTAAATGAATCAGAAGCAGAAATCAAATAACAAAGGATTATATTATGAGAACCAAATATTGAAACATCCAAGGAACATAAAACAAGAACTTCACGACAACAACATAACCAAACAAAACCATTTCATAGATATATATTATACAATCTCCATTGGTAAGCACAGATGGCCTTCTGGCACGATCTGCTGAGATTCAGTCATTTTTCATTCCATTCATTAAA